TGCACTGCAGTCCAGGAGGCACACGGTTCGAATCCACTAGCTGGTCCGTGGAAGAAGGATGGGCAGTCTCCTCCCATGCGATTAACTGCCTCTGAAAACCCACTGGAGGGTCAGTTATGAGTCGTCATCATCACTACAGCCTCTTTTAAAAACTTTTACTTATTTTGTTGTCAAGAATACACACAGCAAAACCTACAGCAGAGTGTCTGTGCCCAATTCCATGGCATTAACTGCACTCCCCTAGTTGTTAACCATCACCATTCATCTTTTCCGAGCGTTTCCCCCTCTCCCCATTAACACAGACTCCCTGGCTTCTAAGAGTCTATCCCACCTCTCCAGTTGCTTTTGCCATATGCTGTCATATGTTCACTCATTGCCCTTGAGTGGGAGTCGACTCAGGGCTTTCGCTCCACCGGGTTTCTGAGGAGCCTGCCCAGCTTTCTCTCGTGGGCCCACTGGTGGACTTGAACCGCAGAGAGGGGTGGCCTTGAGCTAGCAGTGCTCTGCTTGCTGCCACCAGAGCTCTCTCTATCTCACGTAGACAGACCTGAAAAGGGCAAAGTGCTCCAGGCAGGTCTTACTCAGTAAGTTAAATCATTGTTTGGTTTTAATAAGATTCAGGGGATTTAATGTGTAAAGATGATTTCAGAACAACACTTTTGTAGGTTCATCTAGCCTGCAGGGTCCCACAAAAATGTCACGAGGATTTGAAATCCTGTTCTGCATTCCTCCCCTTTTGATTAGGATTCTTTTGTGGGATCTCATTACAATCTCTTGCCTTTGCTGAATGGAGTCAAATTCCATCGTCCCACTCCTGGTTTCTTGACCTTTACGGGGGGTGGGGGGGAACCTTTGAAGCCGGACAGTGACTCAAAGAGTGAGCATTTCAGGCCATGTGCTGGGGTGGCAGCAGTGGCTGAGGACAGCACATGACCAGCCTCACCAGTCACTCATCCACCGCCTGCAAAGACGCCTGGTCTCGCCAGCCAGCCCCAAGCTGAGAGGACAGGATAGTGGCAGACGTTCTTACAGAGCTGTTGCTGTTAATCCAGAGGCTGTGCATTTCCAGAGGTTTAGATCCAGCAGTGATTCCCTGGGAGAAGGGTGAGCAGTCTCCTCTCCCTGGTAATTACAGCCTCAGAACCAATGGTGACTAAACCATGGTATCAAGAGGGTGGATGTGCTGGCATCCTCTGAGATGCGTCTTCGCGGCCACTGGGTGGCAGCACTTCCCCGGGAATGCGGGACGTGGACCCAGCCTGAGCTCTGCAGAGGATGCTCCCCCCAGGGCAGGGTGTGCTCCCCACACCCACACAGCTCCCAGGTCCTGGACCTGGGCGGTACAGACGGCTGTGCCCTCTGCCTGTGCCCCCTTCCCCTCTTCTCGCTGGGATGTCCCTTCTTGATGTATCTGATGCAGGGGACTGAGCGCCCTGAGGCCCCTCAAATGTGCCATCCTGAAGGGATTGGGTAAAATGATAAGGAATGACAGTTGCTAGCTCAGACCCGTGTGCCGCCTAAACCACTTTGCAGACCACCTTCGCCTCCCCTCTCTTCTCGTCTGTCGTCATTTTTATGAATACCATTTTAAGAGGGACCACTATCGCCCAAAGTACCCCAGCTACACAAAGGCAGAGTCCGGGCTTGAACTCCAGTGACCCTGGTGGAGGGAGGAGGGGAGAGCCACAATTTACCTTAAAGTATCTGAGATGGAAAAGGTTACTTTATAAAACACCAAACAAACCAGAAATTATGCTTGAAACATAGGGCTCAGTGGTTTCAGAGACCTGAAGGTCTTAGTCTCATGGATGAACCCATGGATTATGGCCCCAAGGAGGAGGGCGGGGTCCCAGGCGGGGTCCCAGCCCCAGTCCGGCCACTGGCCACCAAGAAAGGAAGCTGCTTGTCTGAGCCTGTGTCCTGAAAACTGTGGCTGACCACACTTGTTCTCTCCCGGGAGGGCTGGGCTGAGCTTTAAACCTTCTCACCAGGGGGAGGGGATCCGAAGGGCTGAGAAGTGAATCCGCCGACTCAGGTTAGTTCCCTAAGGAGGGAACAGCTAGGGCTTCCACCGAGCTTGGGATAGAGAACCACCTTCTTTCCTCTCCCCTTCCTCCTCGGTCCCTGGGCAGCTGGGCAGTGAAGCCAGGAAGGGCTGGGCTCATGCTGCTTAGATGAGGTGGGGAGAGAACCAGCCTCCTCCAGGGAGCTGCCCTCTGCAGCAAAGACAGCAATGGAGGCTTGGCACAAAGGAAAGAGGTGTGAGGAATCTCTCCCCAAATCACACAGTCTAAGAGGACTAGGAGGGATGATGGGAAACATCCAGCTATATTCTTTAGTTGGTATTTGGGGAAACTGAGGCACATAAAGGGAAGCTGACTAATCTGATTGTCCTTAGTAACAGACCCATTGAATATAGGATCCTTACCCTCATTTCAGAGCTCTACTGGCCTAGTAGCAAGAAGCTGTGCTGCAATCCTGAAGGCATGTGGTTCAAATTCATCGGCTACTCCGTGGGCGAAAGACAGGCAATCTCCTCTCACGTGATTAACTGCCTCTGAAAACCTGCTGGAGGATCAGCTATGGCTCAGTTCCAACTCGACGGTACACAACAATAACCCTCATTTCAGCAAGTCATGAGTAAAGGGTATCAGATTTGGGTATCAGAAGTCTGAGACTCAAAATGTGGAAGTTCAACATCAAGAAAACAAAGATTCTCTCTGCTGGAGAAGGAGGGGCAATCTCCTCCTGTACCAGTCAGATCCAATTTGACAGCACACACACACACACACACACACACACACACACACACACACACTCTAATAAAATTATATATATCTTTCTCACCACTAGGCCAATTGGAAGCATTATGATAGAGACTGAAATTATTAACAGCTTCAGCTTGCTTGGCTCCACAATCAACACTGTTGGTACCAGCTGCCAGGAAATCAAAAGATGAATTGCACTGGGAAATTCTGCTGTCAGGGACCTCTCCAGAGTACTGAAAAGCAACGATGTCAGTCTAGAGTCTAAGGTGTGCCTGATCCTGGTCATGGTCTTCGCAATTACTTGCTATGTATCAGAAAGCTGGATAATGATTAAGGCTGACAGAAGAAGAATCGATGCCTTTGAGTTGTGATGCTGGTCTTGAACATGCCATGGACTGCTAGGACAACAAACAGTTTGACCTGGAGAGGGTGAAATCAGGTAAGGTTTCAGGAGCTCTGTCTGACATACTTTGGACATGTTGCAAGAAGAGACCAGTCCTTGGAGAGGGACATCATGCTTGGGAGGGTGAAGGGACAACAGAAGAGATGAAGACCCTCGATGAGATAGATTGGCTCAGTGACTGGGGTAATGGGGTAGGTGTGTCAGAGACAATAAGGTTGGCTCAGGATAGAACAGGTTTGAGAGCTGTTGTACGTAGGGTAGCTATGAGTCTCAGGAGACTCCATGGCACATAACATTTGTGTCCGATGGATCCAACTTGTAATTGACTCTCTATTGGGTTAAACCGGGTGGCTCCTTGGAGGCAAGGATTCTGAGGCTCCGTCTAACTTACTTTGGACATGTTGTGAGGAGACACTGGACCTTAGAGGGGGACATCATGCTTGGGAGGGTGGAGGGACGGCGCAGGAGAGGAAGGCCCTCTATGAGGTGGATTGATTCAGTGACTGGGGTAATTGGGATGGGTGTGTCAGAGACAGTGCGATTGGCACAGGACAGAGCAGAGTTTAGGGCTGTTGTACATAGGGTCGCTATGAGTTGCAGGCGACTCGACGGCACATAACAACAACATTGGGTTTTCTGAGAGATGCTTTCAAATTGTGGTGCTGGAGAAGAGTCTTGAACATACTATGGACTGCCAAGAAAACAAATAGGTCTGTCTTGGAGAGGGTGAAACCGAGTCTCTCCTTGAAGGCTGGGATTTTGAAGCTCAGTCTCGCATACTTTGGGCACGTGGCCAGGAGAGATTGGTCCTTGGAGAAGGGCATCATGCTTGGAAGGGTGGAGGAACAGCGCAGGAGAGAGAGACCCCAGAAGAGATGAGATGAGATGAGATGAGATGGATACAGTATCTGGGGCGATGGGGGTTGGTGTGTCAGAATTAGTGAGACTGGCTCAGGACAGGGCAGGGTTCAGAGCTGCTCCCAGGCGACTCAACCACTAACATTCTATGACAGGTTTGGAAGCAGCAGTGGCATCCACTTCCTAAACCACATGACTCCAGCAACTCTATGAACTTTGCTAAACGTCGATAGCTGTAGAGAGGCTTCAGGTCTTTTGTTCTAGGGTCGCTATGAGTCGTGCTCGACTCGAAGGCAATCAACAACAACAGATCACTCGCGGGTCAGCTCTGAGTCGGTTCTGACCCGACGGCACATAATAACAAATCGAACCGGAGGAGATAGCCTTTCTTCTGCGGAGCAGCTGGTGGATTCGACCCTCCTGCCTTCGGGTTGGCTGAGCCACTTCCTCCCCTGGACAAGTACCACTTCCCCTTCCTGAAACTCAGACTCCCCGATTTCAAAAGGGACGTTGCCTCGAGATCTGGAAGCACAAGAAAGGAACCCCGGGCTCGTTCCCTGCTAGGTGCAGGTGCGGGAAGGTGTAAAAGTAAAGGTCTCGGCGTCTGTAGTCCGCTGAACTCCACCCGGGGTCCCAGATCCCCAGAGCGCTTCCGTTGCCATAGCAACCGCCGGCCCCACTCGGTCCCCCGCGTCCCGCTGAGAATGCTGGGAGGAACGCTGCCCTTACCAAGATGGCGGCGCCGGCCGGCTGAGGGGCGGGGCCTCGCGCGCCGGTCCGTCCCGATCTCCGTCCCCGCCGCTTCCGCTTCTTCACACCCTCAGCGAGCTCTGGCTTTCCATGGTGTCTTCCCTGGTCCCCGGAGTCCCGGGAGCCAGAAGGCAAAGGGCTGTTAGAAAGGGCTGGGGAGAAGGCCCTCCGAGAGCTGGGAGGCGGGACTTCCTTGTCTCACCGGAAGTGACGCTACAGTCGCGGCCGCCGACAGGTGGAACGGCAGGTGGGTTCAGGTGCCAGCCTGGCGCGGACCTGGCTGTGGCACGGACGTTTCCGGTGAGCGACAGAGGCCACTGCTAAGCCCCTGGAGACCCGAAAGGCGGGCTTTGAGACTCGAGTTGAGACCCTGGCCTGCACTTCTCCCCTGTACCTGGTAAGAATGACCGTCATCCCCGCCCTAAGTCGGACCCTCCGTCCCGAGGGCAGGGGCCCACCTGCGGGAATGGGGGTGGCATGCACGCACCTTGGTCCCCTAAACCCGCCCCTCCTTTCTCTCCTGGACCCAGTTTCCCGTTCGCCTGTCGAGCCAGGCAGTGAGCCAGCGCTTCCCAACTCTCGGAACCATGTTTGCAGACTTGGATTATGACATCGAGGAGGATAAACTGTGAGTGTTCCATTCCATCAAGTGCCTGGAGCGCAGGAGCCCCAGGTTCTCTAGACCCCTGGGCTCCTCCGTTCACAGAGCCTTGCTCCCTGGCGAGGTCCTGTGCTGGCACCGAAGGTCTGCCCTCCCCCGAGCTCACCATCTGCAGGGCAGACAGGTTAACAGACAGAGCTTAGGGCCAGAAGGACCCTGATGGGGAGTGGCCGGGCTGCAAGGAGAGCAGAGCAGACGGAGCAGGGCTCCCTCTGGGGTGTCCAGGGCAGGCTTCACAGAGGAGGCGACAGTCAAGCTGGGCTTTGAAGGAACAGTAGGAATGACATCACCACACCTTCCTTCCTGGTCTAGACAATTAGTGGGAGAGTTTAAAATTAGGGACTTAGCTCTCTATTAGAATATATACAAGGGCTGTGTCCTCAGCACTTAGTAGGATGCTAGACACCAGCTAGTGGACACTTGCTTTGGGGATGGATAAGTTAATAAATGAGACTGTTTTTTATTAAGCATAAGTGCTACTTTATAGTGGACAATATGATTTGGAGTGGTTGAACAGATGGAAAGTGGATAATTGAATGAGGGAGGGCTTCTCAGAGGAGGTGGCCATAATATTCCTAGGAAGGTGTTAAAGACTGAGTCAGAATAAAATCCCAGCCGGAGACTGAAAGGAAGGGAAGAGGAACTACTTTTATGGAGTGCCTGCTACATGCTGGGTTCGTGTTAAGTGTCTTCCATGAGCTTCTTCATTATAACTGATGACAGAGCGACTTCATTCTCATCTGATGGGTGAAGAAGTGGAGGTGCTGAGAGGGTGCCCCGTAGCTGAAGTGGCAGAGCTGTGACTCCATCTCATATTTCCCTGCCCCCACAAAAGCTGTGCATTTTCCAGAACAAAATGCTGCCTCTCTGGTCCCATGAGAAGAAAGGCAGGTTCCTCAGCAGTTGGAGCCTTGTTGGTTTTGGAGGCCTCATCCCCGTCTCGTGTCCTCGAGGAGACTCAGCTTTGTGCTTCTTTTTCTAGCGGAATCCCCACCGTGCCTGGGAAGGTGACCCTCCAGAAGGATGCTCAGAATCTCATCGGGATCAGCATCGGAGGAGGGGCCCAGTACTGCCCCTGCCTCTACATTGTCCAGGTATCGGGCTCTTTGGAGGTGGGGGCGAGGCCCTAGAGGAGGTAGTACCTCCTTACTCACGCTTGGTAAAGTGCAAGTTCAGATTTGCACTTTTCGTAGCTGACTTTCTCAGTCTTTTTTTTTTTTTAAACTTTTCATCGTAATTTAAGTGAAAGTTCACAGAGCAGCTTGGTTCTCTTTCTATGTAGGAGTTAAAACATTCACACATAATTCATTTCATGACTTTGGAGTCCGCACATTGTGATAACACGTCCACTTCCTCCTGTCCTTCTTGCTGACCCTCCTGCCTTCTGAGCTGTCTTCCTGGACTGCCCCTTTAGTCTCATGGTTGCTTGTTCTAAGGAGTGTGTTTTTTGTCGTGTGATTGTTCACTTGTCCTCTCAGCTTGAGGTATTGAGCTTGAATAATTGAGTAAATGAAATGTACCCTCGTCAGAGAGGACTCCCCTCGCAGAAGGCCTGCTTCTGTTTCTGTCATTTATTTCAGTCTGTGCTCTTCCTTTTCATCATTGTCACTGTGTGCAGTCAGGGCCTGGCCTGCCGCTTGTCCCCTGGTTACGAGACTCTGTGCACTCTGAGGACAGGGTGTCTCTTGTTCACTGGGGTCAGCACCTAACACAGCGCCTGGCAGATAGGCGTTCTTCAGCATTAGTGTATATGATCAATCAGCAAAACCTTGGGTGACTAGCCCAAGTGAAAGGGTAGTGGGTCAAGTTTGAAATAATGGCCTGAGTTCAAATGTAAGCTCCCCTGCTTACTACCAAATTACTACCTCTTTGAGCCTCAGTTTCCTCATCTGGAAGATGGGGAAGTACACAGGTGTCTGTATCTTTGGGTTGTGAAGATTAAACGAAACCACTGAAAGCGAGGCTGCCACTTAGTGCTCATTCACTAAATGGCAGCGGCCGTTGCCCTGATGGTGATTGTTCCTGGGCTCATTTTCTCTGATGTCTTGAGTGGTAAGGAACTTTATGGTTTCTCATAAAGGAAGCTGCCTTGATGTCCTTGTCCGCTGTGACTCAGGAGCGAGGACAGGCCTGCTGGAGTCATCCCAGACCACGTGGCTAATGGAGCTCAGTGATCTCTCTGTAGCTTTGGAAGGAAGCCTACCTCTTAGCATCAGCAAATGGGGCCTCTGCGCTTGACTTGATACAGCCGGGTGCTAGCCCTCTCAGCCACTGGTACCGGAGGGGATCCGGGTGGATCTCGGTTAAGGAGTCACTTCCAGGCCTTGCACACAGAGCCTCCGAATCTGGTCTTGCCTCTGCCTAGAGTTCTGACTTCATGAGCGATCTGACCTCTGTGATCCAGTGGTGTTGGAGAGGCCCTCCCCAGGCAGACCTCCTTGCCACAAGCCACCTCAGTCTTTCCTATCACAACCTCTTCCCCTCAGCCACTGAACTGTGATTATAAAGGAATAGGATTGGGCAAAAATAAAATCTGCTATTTGAAAGTCAAGTGCTGTTGAAGCTGCTTTAATAAATCAGGAATACAAAATGTGACATGATAGCTGTACTTCTTGTCCCACTTACACCCCTGAGGCCTAACAACAACATCACTTTCCCCCCAAATGACTGGTTCGTCCAGTGAGGACATTGGTTTTTCTCAGTAAGATGTTGTTACCTTTGCATCTGTCAGTTATGTGATCTCTTGCTTTTTCTTAGTCCAGTAAATGAGACGCTCACTCTCTTCTAAAACCCCTCTGCCACTTCTCAGCCTGTCTTCCCAACATGATTATATTGTTATCTTTGGGCTAAATCAACATTAATGCAATAAAACTTTATTGAGGAGATATCATGTGAGTGCCTACATTGAGCCAAGTTCTATTACAGACACTGTAGTTGATGGTAGGTGCCATTAAGTCAGCTCCAACACAGTGACCCTAAATATAAGACTGAAACCCTGCCGCACTCCTCCTTCACCCTCACAGCCTATTTAACTGTTGTTAAAGTTGTTGGATCAGTCTACCTAGTGGAGAATCTACTTTTCTTCTGCTAACCCTCTACTTCTCCAAGCATGATACATATAATCCTCTCCAGAAACCGGCCCCTTCGGATAACATGCCCACACTATGTGAGACAGTGTCTCATCACCTTTGCTTCTAAGGAGCTTTTTGGTTTCACTTCTTCCAAAACAGATTTGTTCTTTTGACAGCCCATGGTATGGTCAGTGTCCCTCACCAACACCACATTTCTTTATTTTATTTTTTAAATTTTTTCTCCAACACTACATTTCAAAGTGCCAGTTTTTCTTCAGTCTTCCTTACTCATTTTCCACCCATCACATGTGTATGAAGCAATGAAAAATAGGACTCAAATCTGGCACAGCTTAGTCTTTAGAGTGAAATCCTTGCTCCTAGTCATTGGTCGGATCTTTGACTGCAGCTTTGTGCAATGCAGTACATTACTTGATGTCTTGATTGCTTTTCCATTGGTGTTGATTATGAATCCAAGTAAAATGAAATCCTTGACAACTTTTAATCTGTTTATCACCATCTGTTTATCTGATTCAGTTGTGAGAACTTTTGACACCACCTTCCTTGGTGAAGAAGATGGGAAGCATTTATTGCTAAAGTTCAAAGACTACAGTCTTCAGCACGGATTATAGCTCAACATAAAGAAAACAAAAATTCTCTCCCCGGGACCAATAAATAGCATCACACTAACTGGAGAAAAGACTGAAGTGGCCAAGAATTTCCTTTCACTGGAGTCCACTCCAAGTGGATTCACCGCTGTTGAGTTGGTGCTGACCCCGGTCAGCCCTCCGTGGGCTTCCATGGGCACAGATCATAGCGGGAGGAAACTGCCCATCTTTCTCCTTGCCCAGGCTGGTGAATCCGGCCACGGAAGATACTCAGCCTTTCAGTTAGCAGCAGAACTTGTTACAGACAACACTGCCAGTGTTCCCTGGATCCGTGGGGGATGGAGAAGCATCCTTGGATGAAGCATGGTCTCAGGCTCCAGAGCCCTGATTCTGGTGTAGTGTTGACTGACTGACTGTTACAGACTGTCTCTATCACGCTTAGTGATTTTCTGTGATGATGTGATTGTATTTATCTTCTTAATTAGCTTTTTCTTTCTCATTGTTGTCAATTTGTGTGGTTGGGGTTTTGTTTGGTGTTCTTGAGTTTGTTTGAGTTTCCTGTGCTGTTTCTCTGAAGATTTTTCAGCCTCCCTGATTTCTGTGTGAAAAGCTTTCTCGTTATTTGTTTGCCATCTTGAGTTGACAGGGTGCTCTTTGGAGGCAAGGTTAGTGAAGCTTCGTCCCACAGACTTCAGCCACTTGTCAGGAGGGGCCAGTCCTTGGAGAAGGAAATCATGCTTGGAAACATGGAGGGTCAGCATAGGAGAGGAAGACCCTTAGCGAGGTGGATGGACACGGTGACCGTAACAATGGGCTCACGAGTATCAAGGATGGTGAGGCTGGCACAAGATAAGGCAGGGTTCAGAGCCATTGTACATAGGGTTGCTGTGAGTTTCAGTCAGCTCAACAGCACACAGCAACAAAAACAGGAAACCCCACCTTCGAGTTGAGAACCCAGTTAGTAGCCCATCTACCTGTTGTCATTGAGATGCAGTCCGTACTGAAGGCTGCCTTCCTTGATCTTCTGCAACAAATACTTCAAGTCCTCCTCACTTTTAGCAAGCAAGATTGTGTCGTCTGTATAATGCAGGTTATTGATGAATTTACCACACTCCTCCTCATAGAGTCCAGCTTTTCAGATAATTTTCTCAACATACAGATTGAATAGGTATCGAGAGAGAATACAACCCTGACACACTCTTTTCCTAAGTTTAAACCATGCAATATTCCCCTGCTGTGTTCAGGTTTAAGTTCCGCATGAGCACAATAAAGTGCTCTGGGATTCTCATTCTTCTCAATGTCAGCCACAGCTTGTTATGATCACACAGTCAAATGCCCTTGCATAGTCAATACAGCACAAATAGACATTCTTCTTGTGTTCTTTACTTTCAGCCAGGATCCATCTGACATCAGCAATGATATCCCTGGTGCCACAGCCTCTCCTACATCCTTCTTGAATTTCTGACAGTTCCTTATCTATTTACTGTTCTAGCTGTTTTTAAATTACCTTCAGCAGTATTTTGTTTGCATGTGATATTAGTGATGATTGTTCAATAATTTCCACGTTCATTTGGATCACCTTTTGTTTTCTTGACATTGAGATGCAATCTATACTCAAAGCTGCATTCCTTGACCTTCCCAGGAACTGATGGGATACCAATTGACTTGTTTCAATTAACAGATATAGACCTGGATGCTCTCACCAATCTATGCCAGGAAATTTGGAGGACAGATATCTGGCCAGCGAATTTGAAGAGATCCATATTTGTTCCCATTCCCAAGAAGGTGATCCAGTTACCACTGGACCAATAGGCAACATCAAGATGGATGGGGAGGAGATAGAAACTGTCAACAGCTTCATCTTGCTTGGATTCACATTTAACACCCTTAGTACCAGAAGTCAGGAAATAAGGAGACACATTGCACTGGGAAAATCTGCAGTTAAGGACCTCTCTAAATGATGTCAGTTTGAGGACTAGGGTGCATCTCATTCAGTCCATAGTCTTATCACTTGCAATGCATCTGATGGCCGAAGAAGAAATTGATGCCTTTGAGCTGTGGTGTTGGAAAAGAGCACTGAACATCCCGTGGACGTTCAAAAGAACAGATACATCTTGGAGAGGATGCAGCCGGAGTGCTCTTTGAAGGCAAGAATGATGAGGCTTCACCTCATATACTTTGAGCTTGTTGCTAGGAAGGACAATTCTTGGAGAAGGACATGATGCTGGAAAGGGCAGAGGGTTGAGGAAACCCTCAATCAGGTGGACTGACACGGTGACTGCTGCAATGGGCTCTTGTGTGTCAGGGAGTGTGAGGATGGCGCAGGACAGGACGGGGTTCAGATCTTTAGTTCATGGGGTCGCTATGAGTTGTACTCCACTTGATGGCACCCAACAACAACAACAACAATCTATTGTCCACTGGTATTCGATGGGGAGAGAAAACCTGGGGAAACAACAATCTCTTTCATAAATTGTTCTGGCAAAACTAGACATCTACTTGCAGAAGTCTTAAGCAGGATCCACAGCTCATACAAAAACATCAACTTGAAGTGGATCAGAAACCTAGAGGCAAAGCCCAAAACAATAAAGATCATAAAAGACATATGGAACCAAACTTAAAAGACAGCGTATGGTGTAAATAGGCTTGCAGATATAGCCAGAAATGAACAACCAGCAGAGGGCGCAATCGATGACTAGGACCTTAATTAAAAATTAAGTCCCTGTATGCTTCAAAACCTTCTCCCATTAGGGTAAAAAGAAAATCTACAGGCTGGGGAAAAACATCTGGCAGTAACATTCAGACAAGGACCTCATAATACAGAATCCTACAGAATCTCCACAAGGAAAAGACTGATAACCCAGTCACTAAATGAGCGAAACACATGGAAAGACTTTTCAGTGAGGAAGACGTTCAGGTGGCCGGCAGATACGTGAAGAAATGCTCAGAATAACTGGCAATGAGAAAGATGCAAATCAAAACCACAATGAGATAGCATCTCACCCGAGTAGCAGTAACAAAGTTTAACAGGACGGCAAGCAGTAAATGTTGGAGAGAATGTGGAGATACTGGAACTCTCATACATAGTTGGTGAGATTGTAAAATGGTGCAGCCACTCTGGAAGACAGTAGGCTTTTCCTCAGAAAGCTGAACCTAGAAATCCCATATGACCCAGCTACTGCATTGCTAGGATTATGCTGCTGTTGTTGATTGCCTTCGAGTCAAGCATGACTCGTAGTGATCCCTATGAACAAATTTTGTCAAAGTTCCTAAGAGTTTCCAGAGGCATGTTGTTTAGGAAGTGGATGCCACACCTGCTTCCAAACCTGTCACAGTATGTTACTGTTGTTATGTTCCATTGAGTCGCCTGCAGTGTATTAGTGACCCTCTATGCAGCAGCTGAGTCCTTCCCTGTCCTGAGCCAGTCTCACTAATTCCGACACACCAACCTCCATTGCCCCAGTTACTGTATTAATCCATCTCATCTGGGGTCTTCCTCTCCTGTGCTGTCCGACCATGAAGTCCTTCTCCAAGGACCAATCTCTCCTGGCCACGTGCCCAAAGTGAGTGAGACGGAGCTTCAAAATCCTAGCCTCCAAGGAGAGAACTGGTTTCAGCCTCTCCAAGACAGACCTATTTGTTTTCTTGGCAGTCCATGGTATGTTCAAGACTCTTCTCCAGCACCACAACTGAAAGGCGTCTATTCTTCTGTCATCCTTACTTGTCCGTCTCTCTGAAGCATAACAAATAATTGAGAAGACCATGGCCTGGATTAGGCGCCCCTTTGTATCTAGGACTATACCCCAAGGGAAACAGAACTAAAACACAAACCACAATTTGTACACATGTGTTCATAGCAGCATTATTCACAATAGCAAGAAAATGGAAACAGCCCAAATGTCCAACAACAAACGAATGCATTGAGAAATTGTGGTACATTCACACAATGGAATACTACACAGCACTTAGGAGCAACGATTTCTTAAAATTCTGTATAACATGGGAGAGGCTAAGAGCGTGAACTACCTCAATCTCTTAATGACGAATACTGCATAAGGCCATTATTATAAAAGTAGAAGGATAATTAGTAAGATGGATAATTAGTATGAAAGTCCAAAAAGGGAAAGGGAGAGTGGTAGAAGATGGGAAGTGGAATAAAAAATGACATGGGGGAAAATGTGTTGCCAGTAAGGGTTGTTCAAGGACTACTGCAAAGTGAAGACAGATTTGCATACAAGTTGGGGATGACTCCAAAACAGCAAGTTTCCCCTCTCCCCCAAAAAGGTCTATCTCTCTTTCACTTCTCCTTGGTTTTCATTAGTTATCTGTGTTAAGCAAATGATGCAATCAGAATGCAAAGAGGGGTTAAAGCAGTTAACTGCTAAAAACACTTAAAGGTGAAACTCATTAGGATTACACCTCAACATAAAGAAAACAGAGAAATCCTCACAGCTGGACTGTAGGCAACATGATGAACAGAAGGAACGCATCAAGATTTAATGTTGCTTGTTTCCACAATCAACACCTGCGGACACAGCAGTCAGATCAGATGATGTAATACACTGGTTAAATCTGCTACAGAAGGCCTCTTTTATTGTTTTTATTGGTTTTTTTTCTTTATTATTGAAGAGCAAAGATAACACTCTGAAGTTTAAGGCTGCTCTGAGCCAAGCTATGATATTTTCTGTTCCCTTATATCATGAGAAAGGTGGGCCGTAAGGAAGACTGCACCGACCAATAACGATTACTACTGGGTTTCCCTAGCTTCTTTGGAATTGTTAACTTCTATTTTACATTTCTGAGAGTTCTTTGTAATTGACCCTTTTTAATTTGAACTATGGTATTGGTGAAGAACACGAAATATCCCATGGACAGCCCGAAAAACAAACAAGTGTGTTTTGAGGGAAGTGTGGTTCTAGGGTGCCCCTTAGAGGGAGAGATGGTGGAACTCTGTCTGCCATACTTTGGGCATGTTGTCAGGAGGGCCGGTCCTTGGGAGAAGACATCGTGCCGGGAAAGGTGGAGGGTCAGCGGAGGAGAGGAGGACCCTCGCCAAGGTGGACTCACACAGTGACTGTAGCACTGGGCTCGAGCCTGTCGGAGATCTTGAGGATGGTGCAGGCGGACAGGGCAGCTCAGAGCTGCTGTTCGCAGGGTCTCTGTGAGCAGCACAGAGTAACAAACAACAGGTGATCCTTTGGACGTCATGTTGTTTCTCTGATCACTTTGAGGATGTTCATGGTGAGGTTTTGTTTCCTGTGGCCCATTTTGCTTGTTTGTTTGGGGAATATGTTTTTCACATGAGAAGCTTTCCTCGGATTCCCAGAAATCCTTGTCTGCCTTGATACTGAAAAGTGAGTTTGGAAGCCCTGCATGCGGGTGGTCCTTATGTGGTGGGTTTCCCTTTGGGGCTGGCTGGACACTGTGCTCGAGATTGCCCCCAGTCCCATGCAAGGCAGGCAGTGAGCCTGGCAGCCAGCTCCCTGGGGGCTGCCGGCTTTCCAGGGGGCTTTGGGATGCCATGTGTAACATCCTCTAATCAATCCCTAATCTTTTCCACCCAGTGCCTCCTGCCTCTCTCACTGGGCCCTGGAGTTGGGCCTTTCTGAAGAGGAAAAACTCAAGATTTTAGGTGAAGTTGTGGGCTTGTTCTTACACTTCACTTTTTGTCCAGCCTTGTCTGTTACTCTGACCCGCTCCTTGACCTAGCATTTTCCAGCAAAGATTGGTGCTTTTTCATTGTGGCCCTTGAAGTCCCATGTCCTCCCTTGTGCTGACGCCGTTGTTAGCACTGCCCCGTCTTCTGGAAGCACAAACACTTCTCATCAGTGGTGGTCTATTTTTGCTTTCTTTTTAACCTATTGTGTTTTATTAGTGTGACTTTAGACTATAACATATGTTAAGAATATTAAGGTGTAAGAAATATTAAGAACACTCTTTTTATTACATTTTTTTCTCTGATATGAGCTGTTCTTTCATGTGCTTTTTTTATATTTTATTAACTTTAATGAACATTTACAGAGATTTTGGATTTCCATTCATTCATTGTTGCACTTTTCTCCCTGCCAACACCTCCCCCCCAGTTCGCTCCTCTCTTTGAAAAGTAAAAGAAAAATTCTTTCATTGCTATACAATCCCCCTGCAACCTCCCACCGGCACAATGCAACCTTAATTCTGGACTCTTGTGATAACCATAATGTTGGTGTTGTTTGATGCCATCGAGTCGTAGGCGACTCATAGCGACCCTATGAACGAACGGCCTGAGCACATGAACGAACAGCCTGAGCACATAACCATAATACCCTATCATATATCGCTTTTAGATTGTTCTCTCCCTCATCTGTTTCAATGCAGTATAATTTATCCAGTTTTTCTCAGTCTTACCCCAACCCTGATGTCAGTCCCATTCTACAACAGTGGCACCATGCAGTATTTGTCCTTTTGTGACTGAGATATTTCACTCAGCATAATGTCCTCCAGGCTCACCCATTTTGAATAATATTGCATGAGTTCCTTGTTTTCCAATGCAGCTTCATATTCCATTGTGTGAATATACCACAGCTTCTCTATCCATTCTTTTTTTGATGTGCTTTTGATGGAACGTTTAGAAACTGATGCTAAGGGAGAAGAAGGTGGGCGGTTCGAGTCCCCCTCTCAGGGTTGTCTGTTTCTGGACCTCATGTTAATATTCTGTGCCTGTCTCTGTATACGCTACCATAGCCTCCTCTTGTCTTATTTAAGCGTGACTCACAGAGCTGACCCTTGGTACACTCACTCTGCCTCATAGCCAATAGGTACTGACCCTCTGAAGGGGTCACCTGGAAAAAGGGGCTCACAGGGAAGCCCTGAGCTGCCCTTTGGGGCCTGAGGTGAGGTGCAGGAGCTGACTGAGGTTCTTGGGGGCTCCGAGTCACCTGGAGCTGCAGGGTTAGAAGAATCTATCAGAGGAGCCAGAGAGTGTGTGTGTGTGTGTGTGTGTGTGTGTGTGTGTGTGTGCGCGCGCGCGTGTGTGTGTGCGTGTGTGTGTGTGCGCGCGCGCGCGCGTGTGTGTGTGTGTGCGTGTGTGTGTGTGTGTACACGCCGTTTGCATTCAGGTTGCGGCTCTGTCCTGTCCCTGCAGAAGGTCTTTTAGGGGCTCTGACCTCACCCTCCTTGAGCCTCATCCATGGGCGGAAGGAGCGGTCGGGGCAGAGCCAGCGCCGACTGGGATGGAGGCATGGTGAGCTTTCCCCTCACTTTGTCCATCTCTCCCCACCCCCGTCTCCTGGCACACCCCCCAGGTGTTTGACAACACCCCAGCAGCCTTGGACGGCACGGTGGCTGCTGGAGATGAGATCACGGGTGTCAACGGCAAGTCAATCAAAGGGAAAACGAAGGTGGAGGTGGCCAAGATGATCCAGGAGGTGAAGGTAAGGGCTCTTGCTGGGAGGAGGCCTGCCCTCACCCTGCTCCCTTCCTCTGCGCGGAGGGCCAGGCCCTGCTCCGGCCTTCCTCACTTTATTGCTCATCTTGTCAGTGAATACAGTTGTGCTCCAGGACTCCTTCCTGCTGGGCCTGGGTGCTGAGTGGACAGAAGGTGCCAGGTCCTTGTCCTCCTTGGAGTCTCAGGGAAGCTGCCACAGGGCTCACTTCAGCCAGCCAGCGTCCCAGTCAGGGCTGTAGCTGAGGCCACAGGCTCCCAGTGAATGGAGCCGCTGAGTGGCTCAGAAGACACCCAGTTGCTGTTGGCCAAGCCATGCAGAGCATGGAAGGAGGCAAGATGGGGAGAGGCCCTTGTTCCCCATCCTTGTAGAAATCTGCAGACTATTGGGGCCCTCTGAGCTTATGTGGCCTCAAGGACCCCTCTGGGCTCGGACTGCTCCCAGTTAGACTGCTGGTCTCGTCTGCACATGAGTCACACAGCACCTGCTGCAGATCGGGGCCTCTCTCCCAGGGATCTTTCTGGAATTGCAGGCAGTACCCAGCCGCCACTCCCAGAAACAAGCATGCAGCCCTTTTGCCACTTCTTGCCAAGTTTGCTCTCATTGACTTCTGGGAAACCAGGACCTTCTGAGAAAGCTGAACGAGTGTGGAGGAGACACAGGGCCATGTTGTTGTGTGCCTTTGAGTCTACTGTGACTTATAGCGACCCTGTGAACAGCAGCTCTGAATCTTGCCCTGAACTGACCTCACTGTCTGACACACAAGCCCAAAGGCTTTACAAAGTCTTAGGCTCAGAGTCTCTGCTGGGATTTGCTCCCAGTAAATTGAACTTGGCCAAATGCTCTAGTTCCCTCACCCTTCTCTGTCCCATCAGCCACCCACCTGCACTCACTCCCTTCCTCCATGTCCTGAAGCCCCCTTAACTGACACTCCCATCACCATCTATCTGCCCTGGCCCAAAGCCACCCTCCTCTCCGCCTTCTTTCTTCTGCTGTTCTGCTCTCACCTGTTCCCTTCGCTGACGTGCCTTCTGCCAGGAGGAGGAGGAAGATTCCAGTCCTTCATGCTTTTGCTGCAGCACCGAGAGCGAGGAGTGAATGGGAAAGGGGCTGGGCCTCGGGCTGAGAGTTAACTGTGTGGAGCTTGCCCAAGGGGTGCAGGCCCTCTGTGGAGCATGGTGTTACCATCAGGCACCACCTGACGTGCACAGGGACTGCTGCTGTTGTTGTCCCCCATCATATGAGCAGAACTCGCTCATCGCTGACCGTCCAGCAGGTTTCCAGAGGCAGTAAATGGCACAGGAGGAGACTGCCCATCCTTCTCTTGTGGATTCAAACCGCACACCTTTGTGTCGGCAGCACAGTTCCTTACCACTAAGCCACCAGAGCTCCCTGTAGAGGGACTGGTCCCAGGAAGTAGAGGACCTTTGTCATTCAGGTAGAGAATGGGGTTCTGTGGGCCCCCTTCTAGATCTGACTCCCCACCCCCTAACTCTGTCCACTGGGCCTCCCGTCCTCCGGGACTTATCTCACACTGTCTGTCCCTCCTTAAATCCTGACCCCCCCTGCCCATGAGGACAGGAGCTCTTTATGTTCCTGCACAGCCCTGACTGTTACCAAAGGGTGTTCCCAGTGCCACTCCAGGCAGGGCATGGGGTCTCAGTGGCCCATGGAGGAGGTGGTTCAGACCCCCCTGCCGCCCACTCCTGCTCTCTTGCACCTCTCAGCTGCTCACGGGACCGAGTCCCGCACATTCTAGGTCACGTTCTAGGGGCCCATTCCTGCCACCCACTTGGAGCTTCCCCAGGACAGAGCCAGCATCGAGTCACGGGTTTCCTTCAGAGCTCCCTCACTTACATCCTGGATTCTGTGTGAATTGTGATGAAAGATGGACAGTCCCCCTCCCACGCAATTTATGGCCTCAGAAAACCCACGGGAGCATCAACCGGGCTTTGCTCTGACTTAACGGCAATGAGGTTTTGAGTATTTTAACGTGTGGGTGGATTCAGTCTCAGGCCCCAGGGTGTGGGATTACTGAGAAGAGCACGGTCAAGGCCTCAGGACAGGTAGCAGCCCTGCAGCAGCTGGCCCTCCGCTTAGTGCGTCTTCTGAACAAGCCCTGATGCACATCAGCCTCCCTACTGGATTTGGCCGTCAGGGTCTGGGGCTGTTCTTGCCCTTCTTGCCACCCCTGTGCAGGCACAGAGAACAAAGATCATCAGAAATACCTCTTGGGTGGATGGAGGGGCTGACTGAGCGTGGAGGAGAGGCTGCACTGGGGAAGGCCGGGCAGATGTGCAGTGTGGTGTGAGGAGGGCAGGAGCACCAGAGGCCACCAGGCTGTGCTCTGATATGGCCAGGGCTGTGCCCACCCTTTTTCTTGCTGATTCCTAGCATGCAGAGAAGGAGAGGTGCTGGAAGCAGACAGGGAGCCCTCTCTGCCCCTCACCAGAACCTGTCACGACCCACAGATTCTGGGTCCATCAGACCTCGCCAGGGTGGGTTTTGGGGCCTAGGAAAATTGGTCACAGCTCTGTGTCCTCCCTTTCCAGGGAGAAGTGACCATCCACTACAACAAGCTGCAGGCAGACCCCAAGCAGGGCATGTCCCTGGACATTGGTAAGCGGCACCTAGCCCTGTTCCCCAGCCCCCAGCCCAAAGGGCACCCCTGCTCTCTTCTACCCCTGGACAGCAGATCCAAGAGTCCCGAGGACTTGCCCCTTTGCCAGCCTGTGCTCCCAGGTTGCCTGGTTGGGAACTCATTTTGTAGGGTTGTCCACCAGACCCTGGCCTAGCACCCCTGACCCACCAGCTCCCCTCTTTGGCCTCCCTCTGCCCAGCTGTTCCCATAACACCTGGAGGGCCCTCTGTCCCCAACACAGCCTCAATGCAGGGGGTGGGACTTTGGCTTCCTGCTGGGTGCAGGGTCCAGGTTATGTGGAACTTTTATATGTAGAAGGCGGACAGTAGTTTTAAGGGGCTAATAACCCGCTACCTGACCTGACAGGTAAAGCCTGAGATCCTGAGTGGGCTTTGCACCTCCAGGTGAAATGTGCCCCAAGATCTCTTGCCTCTGGAGCCCAGCAGCCTCCCGTTTGGAAGGACAGATTGTTTCTGTCCTGGAGATTCTTCCCCTAAACCCCCCTGATCCCAGCCCAGCGTCTCTCCTGGTGACTCAGCTGTGCCCGGTCCTGAGTCTGAGTCACTTGTCATTGTGCCCATTACTCTGATGTGACCAATTGAGGACAGACCCTCACCTTCTGGTCCCTCATACCAGGATGCCCCAGTTAGGATGTGGAGAGTGACAGGAAGGAGAGGCTCTCTGGCCCCTCAGGCCTCTGTGGCCAGGACCCCACACTACACAGAGCCACTGAAGCCTCTTACATGTCCACCTCCCGGCATCCCCCAGACTGTGAGGTAGACGGCATCAGGGCAGAGGATCCCCCTGGGGGTCCTGGGGCACTCCCTGCTTTGTAGCTCACCCAAGTGCCCCAGTCCTGCCCCTTCTGCTTCCTGTTAGTCGTCTGGGGCCAGGGCGTGGAGGGTCTCGGGCTTCTGGGCCCGCCACGCCCTCTAACCCATGACTCCCTCTCTCCACTAAGTGCTGAAGAAGGTGAAGCATCGGCTGGTGGAGAACATGAGTTCGGGGACCGCAGACGCCCTGGGCCTGAGCCGGGCCATCCTGTGCAACGGTGAGTCCCTCGTCCCTGTAGTCCTGACCATTCAGACTGCGTCCACTCAGCATTAGCTCTGGCCTCTGCCTCTGGGACCAGTAGTCACCATCTCTTAGTGTCCCTCTGAGTGTCCACAGCTGTCCCTTCAGCCAGCCTCAGCCAGTGCACCTGGAGATAACTGGCTCAAGTCACAGATGAGGACACTGGAGATGTAGAGTGGGAGTGGCCTCCTTCTAGCCCCTGCTGGGGAAGGTGCTGCTGGGAGCTAGCTGGGACCAAGCATTGACCACTGCCAGGCTGGGAGCTAGCCCAGGACCAGGGATTGACCACTACCAGGCTGGGACCAGACCTGTCCCACTGCCAGGCCAGGAGCTAACTGGGGACCAGGCCTGTCCCACTTCCAGGCTGGGAGCTAGCTGGGGACCAGGCATTGACTACGACCATGGTGCAGCCACAACATGTCCCACCCCAGCATCCCAGCCCAGTGTCCCTTGGCTCCTGGGCTTCTTACCACAGCCCCACCTTTGTCCAGGAGGTGGCGCTGCTGTCCTTGTCCCTGAGCTCTGCCCACAGCTCCCAGGGCTGGCTGAGTGCCTCACAGCAGGGGGAGAAGCCCTGACAGCACGGGGCAGGCACATGCATGCACACATGTGCAAGTGCACACACACACGTGCACACGTGCCATCCTGGACGACCAGTGGAGCACGCTCCTGCGCCCACCCTCACCAGCCTGCGTTTATAAATAGCAGTGGGCTTGCTGCGCGTGGGGGCGTGGATATAAATACCTATGTGAAGTGTTGCTGGGCTGGGTACACTATTGGCTGGGGATGTGGGGGTCGGGCCTGAGCCGGTTCCAAATGGTACAAAAGTGGTGGCTGCTATTTTCAGCCTCTTTGGGCCTATAAATCCCTGTTACTGTAGTTACCGTGCGTGGAGATGAAATTAGAACTGGTTGTTGTGTTTTTCCCCCAAACCTTGCAATTTCCCTGGCCTTAAATAGGCTTTCTAAAATTGAAGCTGTCATGATGTCCCATGACCCAACTAAAAACAACAGCCTGGTGCTTACGTGGCTCTGGCCCCACAGGCTGGCCGGGCGCCAGACTGCAGGCGATCTGGGGCCTCGAGGTCACCCAGGGTGGCCGAAACCTCCCGGAGACCCCACGGTGCCCCCTATCTACCTTGTCCTCCCCTCACTGTCCCATTGACCAGCCACCTCCCCTGCCCAGACCCGAGTCCTTCCCTATCTACTCTCACTCAGAAGTCCCCGTGGGGTCAGCACGGGAGGAGCTGTGTGGCCAAGGGCACCTCTATCCTTTTCTCTGTGAATGGGGCAGAAGGGAGTGTCTGCCTCAGAGGCTGTCTTTGCTGCCAGCGCCCGAGCTGAGTCACCAGGTGACGTGCCCTCTGCCTGCTGCAGTGTTCCTATGGGGAGCTGGTGGCACAGAGGAGCAGCCCCGGGGGTCCAGGCCCACCTGTCCCACGTGCTCGGGGTCTGTCTCTGACACCAGTGACACAGATGCAGGCAGGCAGCCCCTCAGGTCCATCCTGAATCACTCTGCTCCCTGCAGTGCCTTGCAGGTGATTTCTGACCCCTTTTTGTCTCCGTCTCCATGGCAGCTGCCCAGGTTGGTGTCAGACCATTGAACTGTTGCCTGCTGGGCCAGGGGTTACTTTCTCCTGGCCTCGGGGAGCACCCACAGATTCTGGTTTGGGGTTTTGTGTTCATGACCTTCAGAAGTTCTGGAATCACTATCAACATCCTGCCCCTTTGGTCTTCACCAGCCTGCTGGGGTGAGGGTCGTCTCAGCAGGCCCGGAGGGCAGCCCTGTTGGGCCCTACTCACCTCTGTTAGGGTATGCGGGGCTGTCAACAGAGCACCTCTGAGCTTGCTTTCCCTGAGGTATCCTCTTTCCCTGGGCTCAGTCTCATCGGAGGTGCCCCCACTACCCCAGCTGGGTTCCTCCGCCACCTCAATCCTGAGCCTACCCAAACCCCTGTCTGGGTCCCCACAGATGGGCTTGTCAAGAGGCTGGAAGAGCTGGAGCGGACGGCTGAGCTGTACAAAGGTGGGTGGACATGAGACATGGGTCCAGAAGCAGTCCTGGTATTGGGGAGCCCTGATGTGAAGAAGGTGACCATGGGGACAGGAGTGCCAGCCTGTGATGTTTTAGGACCATAGCCACGGGAAGTTCTTTAAGATGTGTATTTTTTCTGACAGTAGAAATAACATCTACCCATAAATACGTACGTAGAACGATTCCCCCAGGCTGCCTTTCCCCCAAGGCAGTGATCACAGCCCTGGCCCTGGCCAGGCAGGAACTCCTTGGGTACAAACGGGGGACAAGGGCCACAACTGAGCCTTCCATGTTAGCCCCCCCTGGGGTCAGGGGACAAGCCCAGGATCCTAGACAGGGCCTTGGTGAGCAGAGGGAGCTGGAGGTGGTCCGACTGCCCCTCTGGTCGGGTCTCTCCACAGGGATGACCGAGCATACCAAGAACCTGCTACGGGCCTTCTACGAGCTGTCGCAGACGCACCGGGGTGAGCCCGCCCCTGCTCCCCTCACCTCGGAGCGCCCCTCTCCTGCCGGTGCACGCTGCCTGGGGCTGCTCTGGGGCGCTGCCATGCACAGGAACTCTGAGTCTCTGTCCTCTACTCTCCCGTTTCCCTATGCTGGTCCTTCACCCCCAGCCCTTCAGGGAGGGCCTGCTGGGCACTCAGCCCTGCACTGGCACCTCTGGGGCTCACTGAAGCCAGCACCACATAGTGTGGAGTTGGTCCGCGAAGGTCACAACCAGCTCAGAGCGCCCCTCAGGGCTCTGGGGTACAGCCATCCACCCACCAAGTGGTGTGCAGACCGGGAGTGTCTAGACCAGGGGTCACCTGACCCGTCCTGCCCGTGTGCAGTCGGCAGTGTGGGCACATCCCTGCCTGTGCTCTTAGTCCTCACAAGCCCTTTAGCTGGCCGGTCAGGCACCAGTAATCCGCTTTCCCAAAGAGAGGGAAGGGACACAGCGGCTAAGGGGCGGGACTGGGATTGGAACTCGAGTGTCCAGACTCTCAGAGCAGCACTTGGTCCTGACAGCTCTCCTCCAGCCTTGACCTAGCCGTTTCTACTGTCTGGTCCCTGGGGAGGAAAGGCCAGTCCCGCAAGGGTGTGGTCCTAGCTTCTCCACACGTGCAGGCCTGACTCCCTTGGAATATCAGCCCTCCGTCCGTGCGATGTAGCCCCAGCTTCCTCATGGTGTAAACCAGCTCCCTCAGAGTAGACTCGGCTTCTCCTTCAGGGTGTGGACCCCGCTCCCACAGAGCATAGATCTGGATCCCTCAGGGTGGAGACCCCGCTCCCCCGGGTACACACCC